GGCAGTGGATGCCACCCCAGCTGACCATCTGGACGCGTTGGATGTGAAGGGCGAGCAACAGAAGGACGCCTTCTGCAACGATGTTCGAGCCCGACTTCTGACTGACCGGGTCACAAAGAAAACGTACGTGGACAAGGACGGCCTCCTGTACCGCGTCTGGAAGTCACACGGCCGGTTAGCCGAACTCCTGGTCCTACCGCGCCGCCTACGGATGGAAGCACTGCAGTTCCTCCATGATGACCCAATGGGCGGTCACCTTGGCTTCGACCGGACGTTTGACCGCTTGAAGAAGCGGGTCTACTTCCCGGACATGGTTAACTTTGTTCGTAGGTACGTCGAGTCCTGTGTCCAGTGCCAAACCCGTAACCGATCGACCCACCGAGTTGCTGGACCAGTCCAAAGTTTTTGCCCAGCGGGTCCATTCGAAGTAGTCGCGGTGGACGTCATGGGTCCACTGCCGCGATCCAAGGCCGGCAACAAGTACATCATCGTCGCCACGGACCTCTTCACGAAGTGGGTGTCCGCCAAGGCCCTGCCGGAGCAGACCGCAGTCCGCGTTGCCAAGTTTCTGGTCTACGACATCTTTCTCCACTTCTCCATGCCCTACCAAGTGTTGAGTGACCAGGGCACGCCGTTCGTCAACGAATTGGTCGCCGAACTCTACCGGATCCTGGACATCCGCCGGACCACCACCAGCGGTTTCCGGCCTCAGTGCAACGGTCAGGTCGAGCGTTACAATCAAACGCTCGGCCACATGCTGAGCAAGTTTGTCGATGATGACCACCGGAACTGGGACGAGTCCCTGCCGTTCGTGATCTTCGCGACCAATACGTCCAAGCATGACGTCACCGGGTTTTCGCCGTTCGAGATGGTCTACGGCCGTCAACCCGTCCTGCCCATTGACGTCGCTCTGCCAACGGCTAAAGAGCCGTTCAATGCGGACCTCCAGCAACGCATGCGCGATATGCACGCTGCCGCCGCCGCCCGGATCGAAATCCAGCACAACTACACGTACGGGCGGGATGACGCCCGTGACGTGTCCTACAACCCTGGGGATGCGGTCCTCATCTTTAACCCCAGTGGGAAGAAGGGCCGTGCCACAAAGCTGCTGAGCCGTTGGTATGGCCCGTACAGGGTTGTTCGCCAGACGTCACCCGTAAACTACGAGGTCGAAACCCAAGGACGCCGAAGACGGACACGGTTCGTTGTTCACGTCTCCCGGATGAAACCGTTCTTCGACCGGAATGAACTGTACGAAGACAGCTCCGACGAAGATGGAGACGGTTGGATTCCACTGGCACGACGCAAAAGTCCCGTAACCGTGACCACTGACCCACCGAAGGACGTGACGTCGGATGCCTCCGATTCGGATGACCCGGACATGCCAGCACTCGTGGTGCCGGAACACCGCCTGGACGTGTCGGCCCAAGCCGCGCCCGACCCATACATGCCGGAACCCGCCCTGGACATGCCGGAACCGGACATTAACATCGTGGTGACGCCGCCGACACCGGAGCCGGAACCCACGACGCCGGAGCCGGAGGATGCGGAGCCGGAAACTGACCACTTCTCGACACCGTGCGGGCTGTTGGACGAACCGAACAGCGCAGAAGGCCCGTCGGCACCGGTCAGTCAACCGCCGCCAAACCGCAAGGGTACCCGTGCCCGCAAGGAACCGGTTAGTAACCCCGAGCCGACCCGCCAGGGTAACCGCGTTCGCAAGGAGCCAAAGTGGTTCCACAAGGAGTTTGCCTTGTCCGTCGTGGTCGTGGACCCGCCGATCCGACCTGGTCATCCAACCAGCACCGGCCTGCCAGCGGTACCGTTGCGTTTCTGTGCCCTAATTTTGTTGTGGCTGTTCTGTTTAGCGCCGGTCTCCGCCATTGAAATCAAGGCCTGTGACTGCTCTCGACCACAGTTTATGGGAGTGGTGGACTTCGACCAGCTGTTGGCCTGCCCTCCTACACCGACTCGGCTCCGTGGTGTACCAGTGAACTTCGACTTGTACATCGAAAAAGAACCTGGGAAAACGTTCCGCGGGTATGTTTGCCGGACATGGGAGCAGGTCCTGACGATCTGGGAGACCGTCATCTGGACCACCGACACGACACGGTCGACCCGTCTGCTGACCACGAGCCCCCAGGACTGCTGGGTGATGATCAACACCCGTCGGTGTGGTGCCGAGCAGATGCAGAAGTTCGGTAACGTGTGGAGTCATCACACTGAACCGACCGGTCAAGGATCGTGGAATTCCGAACGCAATTTTACCACGCTCAACTGTGAGCTGGAAGAGGTGACTTTGGAACAGGAGTGCGACGGCTGTCCAGTTCTGACAATCACCGGAGAGATCGACCTCGGACATACGTCTGGAGTGACGTTGCCCCCGGAAATCAGCCCTGCATGGTAAGCCGGCTTGGCCGGCGTAATGGCACTCTGTATTACCAGGATGAACCATTCCGCGTCCGCGATCACGCCAACCAATTGGATTTCATCCTTGGATCCCTGGAGACCCTTTGTGATGCGTCGCTCCCAGAAATGTACACCGTTATGGGCGAAGCGAGCATGCACATCCAGGTGGTGGACGATTATGGTAAACCGATGATTTACCCGCGACCAACGCCCGCCAGCACTACCGGAACGCCAAGTACGACAAGGCGCCGGGCCAAACGAGCAGTGACCGCGACAACGTCCCGAACCACCAAACGCCCAGTTACTGTCCGTGTCGCGCCGTCGGTTATGCTGTCGCTGACCCAAGCGTTGCCGCCCCACCTGCAGTACATGTCCGACACCATGTTGGCCAACGAAAACGAGTTAGCTGACCTGGTCAACAACCTCCACTGCCGGCTGAACAAGAACCGGATTGCCGACCTGTTTGCCTTATCAACGATTTCCGGTATCCTCGACGCCCGCTCAATGGAAATGGTCCACTGCCAAAGTCTACAAATTTTTGGCTCTTCTGGCATTGTTCGACAGTGCGCCGCTGTGACCGTTGATTTTCAGGTCGACCGGAGCGGCCGATGTGGGCCTCAACCGCGCGCCGGCAATTGGAGCATCGCTACGGATGGATACCTCCTTATCCCCTATCAAGATTGCCTGTGGAAGTCCAGCATCGTGAACTTCCGAGGAAATCCCTTCGAATCCCGTGACGGAGAATGGATTCGAGTCCTGCCGACCAAGTCCATGGAGCGTCAACTCCTCGCGCACCACTTCCGCCAGCCCATTGACATGTCCGGAGTGTTGCTGCAGTCCGCCATGGACAAAGAGCACTCGATGACCTTTAACCTCCTGGCCCAGTTGGCCGGTGCCATGGAGCAGCAAGGCGTCGGCGATGTTGGCTCGCTTTTCCAATCGAATTCGAAGTCCAGTCAAGTGCCGGACATTCTCAGCCGCTTAGGCTGGCTGAAAGGCATTTTAGCCAGTGTCGTCACCATCCTTATCATGGCTGCCGTTGTGTTGGTGTGTTTTAAATGCTCTTGTCATTTACTGATTTTGGGCTGTTTTCGCCGCATAGGCAACCGCGCACGGCGCCGGCGTCCCACTGTTGTGACCGCGGAAATGGAGCCGCTTCAATCCGCCAGCGCACCGGGCCAGTTGACGGCACCGGAAGCGACCGCACCTCCCACTGACCCGGCAGTACGCCTGTATCCGGGCATGGACACCGTGGCCTACACCGCCTCCACGGATTTCCGTGTCGTTGGTCAGTCAGCTTGACACTTCCGGTCGCGAGGACGCAACCGCTAAGGAGGGAGGAAAGTTACCCGGCAAGCGGCCAGTGACCATATACGGCATACCATGCCAGCGGTCGTCCAAGGACGCAATATAATCATAACCGTTTATTTTATTAGTCAAAATTGTATCTTTGTGTTCGTGCCTGAACGCTGTTTGGCAATTGTGTTTTATGATATAATTTGGCGTATGTGTGCGGATGAGTGCGGATGAGTGTTTGTTGCAAGTTTTATGGTCCAGCTTTGCTGCGGACTGATTGCACGGTAGACTGCACTTTCGTATATTTGGTGCAGTCGCTTTCCATCGGATATAAGCGTTTGTTTCCTCTTTCATTTTATCGAACTTTTACTTTCCTTTTCCTACTGGTGCTTTTGGTTGAGTTAGTTGATTAAAGTTAGAAAAACGATAACGTATCGTTTATTCGCGCAAGTAGGCAGCGGCGTAACAGTAAACACACACGGTTTCTTTAACCACCTGCGGCACTGAGGTTTCACCGTTGTTCTTGTGTAAATTTAAGAAAAAAACGATTATTTATACTAGAGGTAAATCTACCTAGAAAGCTGAATGCTGGATATTTTAATGTATGTTTTGATCAAATTCCCGAAACGATCACGGGCGTTTCGCCACTAGTCTACGTTCAGCCGTTGTGAACACCGCAGAACCCGGTGTTCGTTGTGTGTTCTTCCAGATTTTTCTGTAAAGAAGTTTTGAGCCGTTTATCTGAAAACTGATAAGCCCTGTAGTCTTTGCAACGTGATTATTATCTGATTTTCTGACATTGTATGCATGTGGCGCTGTCAAGGGAAGTGGCCCGGTACATAGAACCAAATTCGTGTACTAATAGATGCACCGAAACTTTCATTCCCAAACACTTTTGTTTCGCTTTATGACATTTTGTAGAGTAATTTGTATACACTGACGTGAAAACCGTTTGTGCGCGCAACATCCAGTTCGGGAGTTATGGCTGTTAGAAAATTCTAAAGGTTTTAAATGCATTCTGGTGTAACAAAAGTTTCATTATTGACCATTCTCTTTCAAATTTTGCATGTAAATGCACATAATTACGAACAACGTTTTTACACCGATCCACTGTTCTAGCATGTTTTGCAGTTTTAAAATGAATTTAAAAAATTTTAAAATTCAGTTTAAAATTTGAAAAAAATCATGGAAATCTGGAAATGGAAATCATGGAAACTGAAGAAAGGATTTGTTTTCAAGACACTGAAGCAAGGGTGTGTTTCAACATGCTTTTTCTCTTTTTTTCGTGTCGGCAGCAAGGATGTGCTGGTGATGAACTGCACCGGGAACACGACCACCTGGACACAACTGGAGGAGCTGCTGACCAATGCACTGCGGACACTGCGGCCCGGCGGCTTCCTGCTGGCCCGCGAATGCCTGGCGTCTCCCTCCGATGCAGGTGCGGTCAGTGTTTTTTGCACATTGGAATTATTGCCAAAGCAGTGAAATTAAATTTGGTATTATTTGTCTAATTAATTAATAAAAATTAAAATTGCATGGAGCATCTGTGGATAATATTTATCGAGTTTTCTCTCACATTTGCCAACTTAATCGATAATCGTTGTCGTTTACATACTTTAGCAGGAATATAGCTGCCAAACGTCCAGCGAATTCTGGGCATTCTTCTGGAGGATTTTCTGGGCATTTTACGATATTTTGTGTACAGTTTTTGGGTGATTTTCTGGTGATTTTTAACGATTTTTCTGTAAATTTTCCGGTATGTTTTTAGTTGCGAAAGTCCAATGAATTTCTGTGTAGTTCTTTATTGGATTTTCGATACATATTTCGTTTTTTTATTAACTGCGATTTTTTAACAATAAATGCAAAAATTCAGCGGATTGTCTCCTTTGTTTGGGGAATTTTTATGTAATTTTTTCCTTATAATTCACAGACGGTCAACGCGTGAATTACAACGATCCCGCCGAAACCTACGCCTTAATCCGTGATTTATCCTTCGTGGCGGAAGACACGCAACGTTACGGCTTCAAGCTAGCCTACGCCGTTTCGCCGGATCCGCAAAAAGTACGGAAATAAATTTCGAGAAATAAATATTTTTTTTGGAAACAAGTTAGCATTTATTCTCTCAACTAAATCATTATTAACAAAAATTTTAACTAATTAATTTATCTGTAATTTAAAAAAAACCAGGTAAATCGAAAATGCGAAAACCGAGCAAATATTGTACGCAGACGATTTTCTTTGCAGTTTACGATGTTTTAGTTTACTACAACATTAGCCTACGATTTCCGTTGAATAAATAGAATCTTTTTTTACATTATTTTTTTATTTATGTTATTTTTTATCCGATTGTTTTTATTATTTACGTGAATCAGAGTGGCTATTTTTCTCGGCTGATTTCGGTGAATAAATAGAATCTGTTTCTATATTATTTATTTTTTTCTTATTGATGTTATTTTTTTATCCGGTTGTTTTTATTCTTTACGTGAATCAGAGTTGTCATTTTGACGGTTAAACGTACGGAAATTTGTTGGGTTGTTTCAGGAATTTTTTTCTTTGCATTTACAATATTTTAATCTGTATCAGGTTTCCGAGCAAGGTAGGCATGTGGGGTATGATCGTAGTGTACTGGCGCCTGGCAAACGATTCACACGTTCCTCTTGATAAGCAGCACAGTAATAAAACATCGGTACTGATTGACGCAATATTTTTTTGATGACGTTATTTGTTACACCACTTTTGTAACGGAAGTGCTTATTTATTTATTTTTATGGTATTCTTGTTTGTTATTTATATATTTTTTGATACTGTACATACAGTATCTAAATCGATATGTGAATCGATAGACATTTTATTCCGCGCAGGCGAAGAAACGCACGGAAATGTGAGAAGAAAACGGACCTTATATAAACACAAGATGGCGTCGGTTACGTCAAAAACTGGAGTTGGGAGCTGGACTTTCTAGTTACAATTCCCGGTTGTACTTTGTACTTGCAGCTCCCAACTGCAGCATATGATTCAGCACAACTGCAGCATAATTACTGCATATGTATACTGTATAGAAGTACACTACCTAATTTACTCACTTACTGATATTCACACACACACACAAGTTGTTTACATTCTTTTACCGCATGGAGCGGCACTAGCACATTAGCGCAGCTGGCTCGTCAGCGATGGTGATACATACTATGCGCGTCTCTTATTATTTAAAACACTTGTAGTAATGATGTGTATTTATAATATACATAATTATTTGTCAACTTACCGTGTAGTTTAATTGCTTGTCTGGATTGTGCACGGCTTGGATATAATTGTGAAACTCGACATGCGCCAAATGTACTGTATAGATACTACTGTACACTGCACATTTACACTGGTTCACTTTCGCTGCTTGATTCAACAAGTTGTTTACATTCTTTTACACTATGGAGGAGCACTTCAACGCATCTGGCTCGTTAAAGCCTTTCAACGTACAGTAAGTGAAATATAATTGCTTTTCAGCGGATACTACTAGCTGCTCTATTCTCAATTTATTTATACATATATAATCATGAAAACTAACAGGTACGATGACATATTATTTTCTTTATTACTGTACACTATGACCGTACTGTGTAATCAATTTTGACAGTTATTTGCAGTCTGATGGTCTACTGCGTGCATGCTTATGCGTGCGTGCAGATCAACTGGAAAAAGTCCGCCAGGGTCGCTGCAAATTTCTTTCCACTGGAGCCAAAGCCACATTTCTGTTAACGATTGCTCCGCTAATTGCAGAATTTATGAATTTCTTGTACCCGAAGTAAGTGAAGCAAATGTTTTCAGTTCATATTGTGTTGTAACACATGGTATATTTTTTATGTGTACATAGTTTCGGGGGTGCTACAAGCAACGAGGACTCGAGTGGAAAAAGTTGGCCTGAACCTCTCAAAGAATTTTTCCACCTTGTCAACGGTATGGCGTAATTTGTTGATTTCGCAGTTTTTACATTACAGAAATTATTATTATATGCTTGTATGTTAGCTCAATGCTTTTATAACAAAAAATACATTTCGTAATGAACCCTAATTATCATAATTAATGATTAATGTACTGTACAGTATTGCACCGTATATACTGTACAGTATTGCACTGTATATACTGTACAGTGCAATACTGTACAGTATTGCACTGTTTATGTAGTATGTACCATGTACTTTTAAGGATAAACGTTCTTTACATTTCTTACTAACTTAAGCACTACTGCTTTTAATGCCAGGTAATAGAAATATGCAGCGATAGGTTTTTGTAATTTTATTTATTGCTGCATTTAGTTTCCAATAACAAGCGCAATCGTTTTCAGCAGTTTGAAGAGTGATAGCATCTTTGCACCTAATAAATTAATTTTTCCAGAATGGAAAATCATCATCGCCGCATACAACCTTGAAGCCGGACTCGCATGGCCGGAAATATTTCAGGTTCAAACATGGCATCAGCTTTGCTCTTATTGAGTTGTACAGTTCTCTAAACTAAGAAATTTCAAATTTAAAAGTGGCGACAATGTTAGCGATTCGTGATTCTTTAACGAGGCTTCTTTTGATAGCCATATTTTGCAGTTTCGGTAATAGTGATCCAATAACGCGAGAGCATCACTGATAGACTTTGCACCATTAACTGTGATCTTGCTGTTGCGGTACACTTGGCAGTGCGATTTGTAAGGACGAATGGAACGGAGAAGAAGCCCGGAAAATTTATGTGGTGCATAATGTGAAAGCGGAGCGCGTTCCGGATAAGCTGGGTAAGTCACACCAGCAGCCAAGGTCAGCAGTTGCAACAACGTTAGTTATTTTCGCCATTCAGC